TAATAAATATCGTTGCCTCTAYGATGATGTGAGTGAAGAACTGAACAGGGGCAGGAGGAAATATTAGGGGGAGCAGTTCTATTGCACTAGCACCAAAAGGCCTTTCCAAAAATCAGTACTGGCCTATTAAAGCTCCTGCCCACTTTGAAGAGAGACAGTGTAGCTACGGCAAACAAAATACAAACCGAAAAACAGCTCTGGAATAACCTGTGGATGCTGCAGCAGCCACTTGGATAAGGGGGCTGATTTGAGTCTGTCGCCAAAGGGCCCATCCAGCGGGTGGCCCTGAAATCGCAGGGAATGGCCACAGTCTCTTCAGGCCCCTCTCACGTGCAAAGAAAAACTTTGGGGGAAGAAAAAGAGGCAGCGCACGGGGGGAATTTGTATGACAAGCGGCGTGAGACACATTGCAACGCAAGCRCTCGCTCCGAGCAGCTCCAAAAACAGGATTTACCCCAGCAAAAGCCGATGGGCCCCAGCTTCATTTGTGGTTGCAAATGGAAACAGGTATCGGATGTACTCAGGATTGCATCCCCATGAACTAAGTCCTTAGCCGTGTTTTTTGGCGACCTTTCCAAGATTTCTGCTGGATTCATCCATGAAGAGGAGTAAAATGGAAGTAGCATGTCATAACATTCAGTAAACTGAGTATAGTCTGATTTGGATAAACAAGGGAAAGGAGTGGTAGRAGGGGAAAGGTGCATTTTAAATATCCCAACAAATAATCAGCCATTTTAATTTTGCAGGAAGCAGCATAGGAAATTAAATGGAAGGCATACTTCTCCTTAAAAACTATCGTATACATTGTCCGTCCATACGTACCGTCCAAACAGCAAAAACAGAGCTGAAACCTGCTTATTAATTACTTCCTTTCCCAGAAGGTGCAAGATCTCCCCAATAAAAACCCGCAACAACAAACCTTTGTTTTTGCTATAAAAGTGACTCTGATTTTGCATAAGAGGCCCGAGCAGCAGGATTCCCGAGCGCTACCAGCTCTTCGCCCCATGAGTTTAGGTCACTGGTGTCGGGGAGAAAAACGATGCAACCAGACCGCGATTTTCCTTTTTTTCCAGCTATTTCCCCCCCCCAAAAGCCAGAGGAAAGCCCTCGGCAGCAGAAATCTTAAAAGGGTCAAGGTAAAGCACCGCGCGCGCCGCTCGCGGGGACGTGCCGCGTCTCTCCGAACGCGGGGCTGGAGGAGGCCCCTCTCGCGCCGTGCTCTTTCCATAGMCCGATTCTTTCGCCATGAGCCACTACAAGGTACAATACACACACGTAAATATATTAATGCCTATATGCAAATATGATTTTTTTTATATATCGACTACATACAAAGCATTGATGACCACAAGCAGAGTAGCAAGCCCACGGCGGCTCCTCCCTAGGCAAACGCACGGCGCGGGCGCACCCCAAGCAGGCACCCGTGTTGGGGGGCAGTGCCTTCACCCGCAGAAAAGCCTCTCTGCCGGCGGGGCCCGCGCTCGGCCCCTCTGCAGGCTTTGCCCAACGTCACCACGTGGCATGGGGCAGGCGCTCCGGGGAAGCCCTCGGCGCTGGGATGAGGGTGCCCGTGCCGAGCGGGAGGAGAGCRCCGAGCGACCGCGCGCCGCTCCCCGGAGACCGGCGCGGAAAACCCCGCGTCCCGACATCGGCACGCGCGGAGCTCCCGGCGCCGCAGCGACCGCCCGCGGCCGTGGAGCTCCCGGAGAGCCGGCTCTGGGCCACCCGTCCGGATGCCACTGCGGTGCCCGAGCGCGCCGGCCCGGCCGCAGGAGGGACGCAGGGCACGGCTCCTCCGCGAGGCGCCGCCGCCCGGGCGCCCGCTGCCAGCCCCGCGCTCCTGTTATTTATTTACACAAGATAAAGTGCATCAGGGTTTCAGTATTGAACCGACAGGCTTTCTGGCCCGCACCACACAATTTTGCTACAGGGGCGAGGCCTTCCATGTGGAATTCTCTTGTGAGAAACAACGAAAAGAAAAAAAGAGGTTCAGACCGGTGCTCTTCACCCTGTCCTCCTAGAACTGTTTTTGGCCGTTCTTTCTAGTGCAAATAAGCTTGTGTTTTCTCAAGTTTAAGGGACATGGCAGTTTTAGGGCAGAAAATCTAAACTGCGTGAGGAATCGGGCGCTCCCAAGCGTCACACGGGGCCGTCGCATCACCGGCCGAACACCGCGCGGCCCAAAACACCGAGGGCCCCGCTGCCAAGCGCAGCCGTCACAGTCCCGCAGCGGGGACGGGATTAGCCTGTTGTCATCCCCGAATGACCACGCTGGCAAACATCGGCGCTTTAGCCCGCGGCGGAAACGCCTTCGCTCGCGCTCGGCCCATCGGTGCTCGGCGGTTTCGCTCAAAGATCTCGCTCCAGTTTCAGATGCTAAGGTGCAACCCGCTCGGCGGGAGTAAATGCATTAGTTGATCCTATGGAGCGCCTGCGGAGCAGAACTGAGCCCTGCCCAGGAGCAGCAGATGCTCATTCCCTGCTCCGTCCTTGCAATAACCTAATGCAATTAGAAGGCCAATTAATGAGCACAGGAAAAGGATATTGAAAAAAAATAAAAGGTTTAAGCAGGGGCTGGTCTCAGTTTCACTGAGACGCAGCCAGGCTGCATGGAGCTAGTCAAAACGGCCAAAGGGCAAACCCGTGAAGAAAAGATACCTTTTCCCTCACCTTGCACACAGCAAGCGTTTCCTTCCCTCTCTCCAAAGCAGCGCGACGACCACGGAGCCTCGGCCGATTCCGGCATCGCCGCTTAGCTCTGCCTGGCAGATGCCAAAGCCGGGAGGGGAGGGAAGCCACGCGGGACACGGGCAGCACGTGGGAGAAGCTCCTACATTCACAGCTCCGGAGGTGGGAGCCTCTGCTGAGCTGCTGGCCGCGGCGGGCCGCGAATCGCCCGCTCTCCGCTGAGCTCGCGTTTCACCCCAACAGCAGCTCACAAACCCCCGCTCGTGTTATTTYCGACTCGCCAAATAAAAAGGAAAACGCTGGGAGCGAAGCTCTAAAGGCCAAATGAACCGGGATCCCTCTAGCACGCTGCTCAGGCATCGTGGCCCACTCACAGTTGGAGAGGTGGAATGGAAAAGCTGTGGGATCGTTTGAAAAGCACCTGAAAGACCAACCTGCCCGTGAACAGACTGTAGTTCCGACACGAAGCCGAACCCTCGCTCGCGGTGGTTTCACCTAAAGGGGATATCACCTAAAACAGTGAAATTAACTTTCTTACCTCCTGTCACAATCGTAACATCTTCCTAAAGGTTCTTTGGTGACTTTGGTGCAAGCTTATATTTTTTTTCTTTTTTTTTTTTTCTTTCTGTTAAACAAATCGACTACTTTTAGAATCCAAAGTAAGTCCAGATTATCCTCCTAGTTCGTAGCCCGCGTGCCCGGCCTTCCTGGTGGCGGTTCACGGCGCCCCAGGGAATCACGTTTGGGTTTCCCGGGGCCGGGCAGGGGGGTTCGGACTACGAGCTGAGAACGGTTCGGTTTGGGGGTAAATTTGAGCCTAAGCTGATTGGAAAGAGCATGTAATGGCTGGATGGGAAAATAGCTGGTCCACACGTGCATGAGGCCGCTCTGTGAAAAAATAAATAAATTTCTTTTAAAAAATCACGTGGGTATCAATATCTGATTTGATCCAGTAATGAATACTTGAAAAAAAAAAATTAAAAGTAGGCAACGCATTTACTTATAGTACCTGGAGCTCAGTCGTACTCCCAATGATTTGGGGAGGAAGAGACCTGGTCCCCAGTGGCCGAGAGAGCCCATGGTTCGTACTTATCTCTGAAGAAATGCCAAGGAATTTGGGAAAAGCGTCTCCAAGCCTCCGAAACAGGCAGTTCTGCCTCTTTTCCCTCAGGCAGAGGACGTGTTTGGCCAGAGGGGATACCCGTCCCGCGGACGGTGCAGACGGCGGCGGCTTCAGCGGGCACCGAGCAGAGCCCCGGCTTGGGCACGGAGCGGGGAAGGTGCGAGTCGGACACGGGCCTTGTCCTAGGACAACAACAACAGCCGGGAAATCAACGCRACCGAGACGCCCCGGCGCTGGAAACACCCTCCGGCGACACGTGCTCGGGATGCATCCTTATGCGAATCAAATGGTGCATCAACCTCCCCAAAGGTCTCCTCAGGGATGGAGAAAATTCCCACGCGTTTCCCTCACGCTTGTCACATCTCGACTGCATTAATCTCCCGTTTGGGAGAGATCCCGGGAATCTCAACAACCGCAATCGCTCGGCACCGGCCTCGCGGCCGCTTGCCGGAACCCCCAACACTCCCGCTACAAAAATATCTTTTGAAAACTTGAGAAATGCATAAAAAAAGAAAAAAAGCCCCAGCAGCCTCGCAAGGGCAGAAGGTGCAGATGAAGAACGGGTGAGTATTTGTGGCTCTTAATTCGGAAGGGCTGGGACGCAACCAGAGCTTCACAATCCCGGGACACGCGGCGCGGTTTGGTCAGCACAGAACCACAAAATCAAACGGCGCGTCTTCCACCCTTGACCGGTGCATTACAAAGGTCCGACCAGGTATTTCACCTACAGGGAACATCGTTTCAAGCCCGGTACCCAGCAGATGCTAATTTCAAAACGCCCACCTCTCCCCAGACGCGTCCGAGCAGTTAACACGGAGCTGCCTGGTTTGGTAGATGCCTCCTGGCTGAGCACAGACAGAATTCCTTCCCAGAAAACCCGGCATAGGCAGGAACGGATACATTTCAGCGCGAGGTTCTTTCGTGTCACGCGGAGGTGCCACACAAGCCTTATCTAGACTATTCAAAGGTCAGAATGTCATTCTGGTTTTTTGTGCTGATATGTGTACTTCCATCGTCTTCCACACTCGGAGCAGCTGACTCATACAGACTCGGGAGGCTGGTATTTCGTAAGAAATACAGAGATGGTCTGAGTGTAATTTAACATGGACTCCTGCAACATGATGTACTCTGGAGTTAATAACAACTACTACCCAAAAAGGATTTTTTACAAAAAACGGGGGCAACTTCAAATTACTTTAGATCAGTCCCTCTCACCAATTTCTGCTTTTTTTTCCCCTTTTATTATTTCACTTTTTTAAATTTTGCCAGATGGCCAGTTCAATGCACTCTATTCGAGACCCTCTTGCTCTTCGCCACTGTCCCCTCTGACATCCATCCTCTTTTCTTTATGGCTGTTGTAAATCCTCCTCATCTCTTCTTCGTACTTGATAAAATTCTCCCCAAACCTGGTCCACGCCTTGTAGGGCACCGTGATGGTGTTACGGTACGGCGGCCTCACCTCACTTACCTTCAGAAAAATGCCATACCTGTTGGATCCCACATCGAAGTAGAACCGCTTGTTGTCCACGCGGAAGGAGGTGCCTTCGGGCAGCTCGGCGGGCTCGTCGCCGCCGCCGCGGCGCTCCTCCATGTCCCCGTCGCCGTACTCTTCGATGAGCTGCACCAAAGCATCCCTGAACTCGATCATGCCTTGCGCCGGCAGCACGATAGTCTGCTCCTGCCCCAGGCTGTGCCCGAAGTAGCCGATCATGCCGGGCCCTCGGCTCACGGTCTGCCGGATGCGCAAGAAGCGGCCCCGCTGGTTCTCCTTGAGGTCCAGGTAGTACTTCCTGTTGTCCCGCTCGATGTACTCCGTCTTGAGGACGCTGTGCGGCGGCTCCTCGGAGCCCAGCGAGCCCGGCGGCGACGGCGGCGGCGGCGGCTGGGGCTGCGGCCGCCTCCGCGGCGCCGGCTCCTTGGCCTCGCCGGCCTCCTGCCGCTGCCCGTGGCCGCCCCTGAGGCCCAGGTGCGCGTAGTGCTCGATGAAGTCGCCCAGACACTCCTTGAGCTCGGCGGCCACCGACAGCGACAGCGTCAGCTTGCTCTTCCTGATGTTGTCTTGCCGGCCGCGTCCGATCCACACCTCGGCGATCTTCAGGAAGCGCCCGCGGGAGCTCTGCTTCACGTCCAGGTAAAAGCGCTTCTTCTGGATGTCCACCCGCTTGGAGGCCAGCTCCTGGATCTCCATGCAGCCCCCCGGCGACGAGGCGGCGTAGTGGTACTGCTGCTGGGGCTGCGCGTAAACGCTCCGGTGCAGGCCCGAGCCGCCCAGGGTCCTTCCTCCGCCGCCGCCTCCTCCTCCTCTCCCCCGTTCCATCTTCACGGCTCAGCTGCAGGTGACAGAGCACAGGGGCGGGCGGC